TTGTGACTTTCGCAACACTTGTTTGCGGCCGTCGGCCGTCCTGCTTAGCTGGGCTCCGCCCGGCGGCGCTGTTCGTAGAGATCGTTTGGGGGAGGGGGGGGGGAGTTGGCTGGTGCTTTGGAGTATTCAGTAAGGTACAAGTATCAGCTTGCTTTGAAAGCCTTTGTTTTAGAATGAAGAAAAGTTTTGTCAACAATCTATTTGCGGACGCTGCGTATTTCCTAGGACATGACAGTTGAATCAGTATTACCTGCAGCTGAGCTCAGGCTCAGAGCAAATTTTGAGTCTAGGGGACCATCTTTCACAAACATTGTGACGCAGTACTTCAGGGACTTTCATGCCACAACATCTGGAAATACACAGATCTCCCCTTTGGGGCTGCCTTGCGGCCCATGGTTGCCGATGAGCGCAGGCGGCACGGGACTTGCGTGGCCCGCACTAGTGCAGCCCTACAGGGATAACGTGGCTAAATGGTTCGGGACGCCCGAGTGCTTGTATGGCTCATTCGATAGCAAAGCAGAGCTTCTTGTGCTTATCGCAAACATGGATGCGTCACTATCAGAGAGGTCGAGGAACTTGATAGCAGATGCGCTTGTTGAATGGCAGAAAGAATGCCACGGAGCCGTGCGAGCCGCAAGAAGGGATGCAAAGCGCAGGATCACAGAGTGTCTTCCGGGGAGCGATGCCAGTACAAGTAGCTTGCAGGAGCATTACAACAAACTTGCCTCGCAGAATCCTTTGGCATTGTTGCCCACGCTCAAGAAGCGGAAGGCAGCTTCAGAAAGGGTCATAGATAAGGGGGCCAGAGCAACTGAAGAGGCCAGGCTTAAGACCGAGTATGCCCTTAAACTTGCTGGTGTGCTCAAGGAAGCTGACCTTCCGGTTTGCAAAATCATAGAGGGAGTAGTTGATTCCGACGAGGCGTGGCAGAGGCTCTTCGGGTCTCGTAGGGCCAAGACGCTTAGGAATAGGTTTAGGGCTTGGTCCAGCTTCCGCGAGTGGCTTGTTATCAGCAGAGGCAGGGTCTACCCGACGGGGATTCCTAACATCCTTGATTACGCCAATGAAAGGTATCGCGAAGCCGCGAAGCATGCGGGAAGACGGTTTTGGATAGTTTCCAGGCTGCTCTCAGTGTCATTGAGACCGTTGGCCGAGTCCCTGATTCGGAGCAGCTGTCGCAGGATCCCACTTGGCAGGCACAGCTTAAAAGCTACACTGCAGATTTGGTAGCGGCGGCACCGCCAGAGCAGCCAGCTAGCATGTTCACGGTAGCGATTTTGGTTTCGCTTGAGCTGCTTGTGTGCCTGGCGGCAGCGCCTCAGTACCTTCGCGCGCTAGCATTCATCTGCCTTCTTTCGGTCTGGAGCTCATTGCGTGCAGATGACATTCAAGGCCTGCTTCCCCAGACGATGCATCTAGACGAGCGAGGTCTTTCAATTGATTTGGCACGCTCCAAGACAACGGGGCCTGATAAGAGGGTCAAGAGTATAAAGATCTTCGTTGACCGCCAGATCTCCTTGACGGGGCAGGATTGGCTTCAGGTCGGGGTAGAGCTTTGGTCCAAGTTCGATTTCAAGAGGGGTTTACATGGTCATGAAGGCTGACGACCAACTTGAAGGCCCGATCGAGAAGCCTGTTAATTCTTCTACAGTGTCCCTCTACATGAGGAAGGTTCTCAGCGAGCTGGGAACACCCAAGTTTGAGGCTGGCGAGTGGAAACTCAACATGCAGAGGCCTTTTGCTTCCGGGTGTCACGGCCAGTCATTTCTCGGGACACTCGGGTAGGAATTTCCTCAGTTCGGTGGGTGCAGCCATCGAAATTGATCCTCGGGAGTTAGACTATTTAGGTCGCTGGAAGGTTGGAGGCGAGGGCTCTGCTTCTTACATCCGCACTTCAGGTGGAGCATAGGCTGCAAAGGACCATTGCCGAAGCCCTCGTGACGGGCAAGCCTAAACCTTATATCGAGGCTGATGCGTTTAAGGCGCTGCTGGATTACGGAGTCAAGGCAGGTGAGAGTGAGGCCATTCTACGCAGAAGGCACTCGGTGCTTCAGCCCAGGGGTGGACTCGGAGGAGAGTGGCCCACACTTGTGATCCCGGCCGGGCAGCCAGCACCCTCCACACCTGAGGAGCCGCCGGTCCCACAACGCTCATCTTTCAGCTACTTCGTGGTGACTTCGAGGACCACAGGGCTTAGGAGATTGCACATGCTGGGATGCTACGTGAAACCAGAGAACTGCTATAGTGTTCGTTTTGTAGAGCAAGTCAATGCGGAGGACGTTGATTCCATCTGCAAAGATTGCAAAGCTAGGATGAAGGCCCAAGCAGGCCAGGAGGATTCAGATCCATCCAGCAGCAGTTTTGACAGCGAGTCCTCATGAAGATGAGGGAAAGAGCGCGCGATTGCTGGGGTCATTGATTCATGAGTTGCGCACTTGCTATGGTGTCAGGGCAACGGTCTGTGACTTCAGAGGCATTTGATTTCGGTCTGTTACAGTGAAAGCTGCGCAAGGAGCATCCGTTTCTGCATCGTAGAGCTGAGGCTGCTGAGGCTGCAACATTACGTGGATGCCGCTGAATTTCATCACCCTTTGTGATCGAGCACGCTGAAGGAAGCGGCCCCGACAGGAGCTCACAGGGCAAAGACCTCCGGGTGCCGAGCCAACTAGACCGTGCGGTCGAAGGCCTCAGGGCGATCAGCAGCGGGTAGGTTCTTTCTGAAGCAGCCATGGCAGCCGCGCCAACGGAAGTGCAAAAGCGAGAGGCGACCCAGCAGAAGTCCAAGACCGAGTTGCCGGCCACTACAGAAGCTTATCGCAAAGTCATGCGGGTTGAGGCCTTTTCATGGTTGTGCATGTCGGCACGCTTCAAATCCAAGCAATGGCTTCAGGGTCTTAAGCTTTCGGACTTCGACAGCTTTGTCAGCTACATCCTTGGAGAAAAGGTGGCACAGCTTTCAGTGCCCACTACCAACTTGCCAGACGTTCCTGCATTGACTCCGCCATGGGATGTGGTGCTTGCGTACGAACATCGCTTACGGAAGGAAGCCTTTCGTCTTGTGAACGAGGAGGACCAAACCTTGTCTGCAGCACTTGCTACTGTGGTGGCCTCAGCTGAGCTTAAAGAGACCTACTTTACCACTCCGCTTGCATTGTCCATTCTTGAGCGCCCTCGTAAATGGTACAAGGGGGGTGGGAAGGATGGAAAGGGCAAGGATGGCAAGACAAGGATGGCAAGGGCAAGTCTGACCCAGCCTTCAAAGGCCTTCAGTTGGTTTGGCGTACGCCCGAGGGGCGGGACATCTGTTTCGCCTTCAACAATCAGGGATGTGATGGAAAGTGCGGGCGACTCCATGTCTGCAGGGTGAAAGGCTGCGATCAGGACCACGCGGCCAAGGATCACAAGCAGCAGGTCGGCGGGGCTTGACTATCTCGCCCCATTGTCGAAACCGATGACACAGCCGATCATGTGGGTTATCAAAACCCGCTTTATGCTCCTTCGGGGGTAAGAATAATCTACATTTTCGCAGGCGCCGAGCGCAAATGTGACATCGGCCAGTATCTTCAGCAGTTGGGAGTCAGCCTTTTGCAGTTCGACTTGCCGCGTTCTCACACGCATGACTTGACACAGGAGGGTCTTTGGCAGCACATTTTCCACCTTTTGAGCCAGGAGGAGTGGATTCTTCTGGCATCCCCGCCATGCGAGACTTTCTCAAGGGTTCGTCATCGTCATCCTGGGCCCAAGCCTTTGCGTTCATCATTTTACCCACGGGGTTTTCCTTGGCTAAGCCACCAGCATTCACTTCAGGTCGAGCAAGCGAATTACTTTGTGGACCAAACGGTCACTGCATGCCAGCTCGCATGGCAATATTTCTTGGAGCACCCCGAGGACTGGGGGATCACGCCGGACCAAGAAATTCCTGCTTCCATTTGGCAATGGCCCAGCATTCGTGAGCTTCAGGTGTCCACGCGAGCAATCACCTTTGCGATTTTCCAGTGCAGCTTCCAAGCCTCCGGCGCTTGTTCATCAGCCACCGCATTTTGTGACGTGGCCCAGCTTTGACACAGAACATCGTTACGTGGGACCGCTCCCACCCCGCTGCTCCCATGGCAGGCATGAACCTCTCTCAGGTCGCACCGGCCGTGTTTGGGCCACGTCCTCATCGGCGGCTTGTCCTCCTCTGCTTTGCGAGTGGATTGCTCATGCTGTGCTCGCTTCCGCTCAGCAAGGGGTCAACGAGTCAGCTTCACACAGCCTTGAGCCTTTAGGCGAGCCAGGTGCAGGCCCAGGCCAGGTGACACAATCATTTGCGGATCAATCATCACAGGCATCATCCAGCCAGGCACCGGACAGCTCCTCATCAAGCTTAGGTCCCGTGGCTGAGTTGCAACCCGCAAAGGCGCACCCGTTGCCGCTTGAACCACCTTCGGGGTCACCTTCGGGTTCTTCGGTTCTAGGTAATCCTCCACTTGACCCCTTGAACCTTCCGAGGGCACCTTGATCGATCCCATTGTTGAGCCTCCCCCTAAACCCCTTAGACCTCAGAAAGGGGTTAGCCCGGAGGACTTTGCAGAGCGGATCTCAGCGGCTCGCATTCCCACCCGGGAGGAATTGTGCGCATTGTTCGGATTGCTCCCCCATGAAACACCGCCCAGGGCACCGGAGGCAGGCAACAGGGTCGCCAGTAGCTTCACGACGGGCATGTATCATCAGGGTAAGCTGACAGGTCTTCGATCCAACCTCCGCAAGTTCCCCTTGTCTACCCAGGCCATCACTTCTTATGTTCGTGCAAAGATGCCGGGTCTACTGTAACACAGGCACCGATCCCCATAAGGATAATCGTAACGCTCCCATCCCAAATGGGATAGCGGCGCTTAGTGACTTCAGGGGAGGGGAGGTGTGGATAGAGTCCGAGAGTGGTGATTCCGTCCAGGTGATTGGGGGCAAGCAGATGCGCGGCACTCTAGTGCCCATCACGGCTGAACCAGTGTTCATCGAAGCCCACAGCCACATACACTTTACCATGCCTTGGAGAGGCAGGCGCATAGTCTTGATTGCATTCAGTGTCGCGGGCATTGAAGAACTCAATCCTCAAGATTATGATTCCTTGATTAACCACGGTTTCTCAGTTAAGGCACCACCCGTAGCTGTCGAACCATGTGCTTGGACCCTTTGCTTGAAGATGAGGATTCTGCTATGCCCATGGAGGAATCGGATCCATTCACTCCGTTCGATCCCGATGCATGTTTCAATGAAGGCCAACCTCTCAAGCTGGAGTGGGATGGCACACATGAGAACATCGATGATGGCTTTGGGCTTTGTTCTCCTACTAGGTGGGTCCCTGAAGCTAGGGGTAAGCGTCTTAGTGATAGGGCTTTGGGCTTCTCTAGGGCGATGCGTCAGATCTTGAAGGACTTTGTGGTGCGAACGGTGCCCGACACGACTCGTACCGCGATGGAGCTGGCGCTCGGTAGGCTTAAGGAATCCCCCTTCTCGGAACCCGAGTTAGGTAAGCTTAGAGCCGAATGGATTAGTTGCATCGAAACCTTTTCCGAAGAGACATGTCATCAAGCTCTCGATGTTCCGGAGAGTCAGCCCTTCTTCCTTTACACGCTTTCGGCGACGGCACAGCTCTTGGAAGATCCTGATTGGCAAGCAATCGCTTGCCAAAGGGACTCGTACGTGACTGGGGTCTCAATTGGGTTCGATGAGCCCGCCGAGCACATCCCACAGGTCTTTGAGTATAAGACTAAGTTTCGTAAGCTTGATGAGTCCGCCGAGGAGTGGCACAGGGACAATTACGCTTCGGCAAAACAGACTGCGGGCCAGCTTGAGGAAAAGTTCAAGGCGGAAGAGGCACTTGGGAGGATGGAGCCATCAACGCTCCCGGTGCTCAAAGAAAGGTTTGGGGTTGATAGGATTAGGGTTGCTTCACTTGGTGCCATCATCAAGCCGGATGGCACGGCGCGGCCGTTGCACGACGGAACACACGGCGTCCACGTGAATAACAAATCAAGCTTCTTAATCAACAGTCCAATCCGGGTCCACGTGAGGTGGTTCATCTTGTGCGCAGCGCGTGCCAATGCCGCGAAGCCACATTCTGCATCACAGGTGACGTCACGGCGGCACACCGCCTCTTCAAGGTCCGGGAGGCCGACTGGCCTCTGCTGTGTTGCAAAGTCGATGAAACCTCTCCAGTGGTATGGCTTAACAAAGTGGGGACGTTCGGGATCTCGTCCTCCGCTTTCCTATGGTCCCGTTTATTCGGCATCGTAGGACGGTGTGTGGCCAGGTTCCTCTTGAACATATGGTTTTACCACTTGGTCTTTGTAGACGACGTGCATTCCAATTTCTCAGGAAAGGACAAATTCTTGCATCTTCTGATGTGGCTAGTTTCTTTCGAAATGTTCGGTACGCCGTTTGCTTACAAGAAATTCAGAGGGGGCTTGAGCAGCGCCTTTGTCGGGTATGAATCGTCTTACACGGACCAACGAGTGGGGATTTCAGAATCCCGAGGCCAGTGGCTACTCAAGTGGATCAGTGAAGCGCGAGCGACGAAGTTCATGGTTTCGGTTAGGCGATTCGGGGAATTCCTAGGTAGATTGGGTTTCGTGTCCCGGCTGCTTGTCTGGATCAAGCCTCACTTGGCACCGCTTTACGCTTGGAAGGCTGCGGTCAGTGACAGCACAGTGGCTCGCTTGCCGGATACTGCAATCCTTGCTTTGGAGTACTTGAACATCACTTTCAGAGACATGACATTCAAGGTGTCGGCTTCTAGGCCAGTTCGGAATGGGGGGGTCTCCTTTCGCACAGACGCCAAATGTGCTGACGGGTTTGTTGTGCTAGGCGGATGGGATTGTGCTCCCACCACTCAAGAATCCAGATGGTTCTCTTTGAGGATTACGCCTTCAGAGGCGCCGTACCTCTTCGATGACGAAGGCCATAGCCAATGGGCCTCGGCATCCGCCGAGCTCCTCGCAACCCTTACTGCATTACATGTTTTCGGCCATCTTGAGCAGCAAAACGTGAGACGCTTGCTTGCCGTTGAGGTTCTTGCACAGACCGATAATAAGTCGCATGAAGGCTTGGCCAAACGTGGCGCTACCACAAAATGGCCACTCTTGATGCATCATTTCACGCGTGCGTGACATTGCTTTATAGATTTCTCAAACAGCCAAAATTTTTGCAAGGCGAAATTTTGGCGCCATAACGCTCATGCTCTTTTGTTTGCTCATGCGTTTCACGTTGTGCAAAACAAGTTGAAGAATTTCCTCTCCGCTGCAGTTCGGGGCTCACTCGTAGTGAGCTGGAAAATTCTTCTGTTGAGGTTCTAGGCGCTTAACCTCAACGGCTCGAGGCCCCAACCTGCGGACGCTGGGACTAGCCCTCAGTGCAAACCGGCCCCTCGAGCGGGCCGGTGATGGTTGGCAGCTCGAGCCCTGGCTCCTGCAGCAGCTTGAGCTCCGCCTCTATTGTATAAATGGGGGATGATGAAGGGTCGGCGGAGTACAACCTGCATCTTCAGTCATGTCTTCGTGACTCATCCAGTGTTTGGAAGCAGCCTTGGGAATGTGGCCTCCTAGGCCACAAGAGAAAACAGGTATCATGTGGCCCGCTGCCTCGGGATGCCAGGGAAACTCAGGAGCCCAGCTCTTCATCTGCGCAGGCGCCCCAGCCCGAGTCACAGGGATTATCCGCTGTCATTGACCGTCTTGCGAAATACAGCAAGTATGACTCCAATCCCCGTGCTTGGATTGATCTGCAGAATGAAGAGCGCAGCCTCGGTATGGTAAAGTGGCTTAAGATAATTCTTGTGGAGCCGCTTGCCTTTGGAGTTGCACGCAATTACTATGCTTCGAAGGCTGCTGGCTTGAGTTCAGGGACTCTTCTCAAGAGTGTGTCCGATGCTCTCTCTGTGAAGGCGACGGCCACTGTCCATGCCAGAGCGAACAAGATGTTAAGGTACATATCTTGGGCCAAAGGTCGCACTCTGCATGTGCTGCCTCTTTCTGAAGGGATCGTGTATGCCTACCTCGAGGACACCCAAGGGAAGGCCGCAGCAACAGCATTCCGGAGCTTCTTATCTTCAGTGGCTTTTGCTAAGTATTCCCTAGGCTTGATCGAGGCAGACGCCGTCCTTGACTCAGGGCGGGTTCGAGGCCTTTCAGCACAACTCTTTATGCTTAAGAGACGCTTGCAGCAGAGGAATCCACTTCGAGTGAAGGACCTTGTTTTGCTTGAAGAGATTTGCGCTGGTAGACATAACAGGCCTCTACAGGAGAGAGTGGCTGCGGGGTTTTTCACATTCCTAGTTCATGCCCGCGCAAGATTCTCAGATGGCCAACGCGTGTGCAAGATCGTGTACACCAAAGGTCTTTCAAATTATCTCGAAGTGTCAGTGTCGAAGAGCAAAACCAGCTATTCGTTGGAGCGCAAAGTTCGATACCTGCCGATGGCGGCCAGAGCCGTTGGAGTTTCAGGGATTCGCTGGGCCGATGCATGGGTCGATGCAATGCGCGACTCAGCTATTGTGATCAGCGAAGAGCAGCCGCTCTTGCCGTGCCCTGCCTCGCAAGGTCAGTGGCGTCATGTACCCTTGCCTTGTGACCAAGCTTGCAACTGGCTCAGAGCTTTGCTGGCGCAGAACGGCGACGATGCCTTCTTGAGCAATGTAGGCACGCATTCTTGTAAGAGAACGCTGTTGGCCTGGACAAGTAAGCGAGGTCTGCCTCGAGACACTCGCGCCATCCGGGGCTATCATACTTCCAAGTCCTCCGGGGTAGGCGCGGAGCTCATCTACGAGGCTGACGCTCAGGCACATCCGTTGTCGCGACTGAGTGACATGCTTGACGAGGTTTCCGAGGGGTACTTTAACCCCGATGCCCCCAGAGGGCAACAGCTGAGGGCCGCCGCAGGGATCGCAAGGGATCAAGTTGAGCCGCACTCCGACGATGACATGGCCTCGAGTTCAGAATCGTCCGGCGACGAAGAGGAGCCTGAGTATCCGGAGGACGAAGCTGCGACAGCCAAGGAGCTCGGTGATTGGCCGGGCCGAGTTGCTGTGTCTAAGTTACCCGAGAATGCTGAGTTTTTCCGGAATGTGCAGTCTCGAGTCATTCACTTAGCAGCCGATGAGGCAGGCACGAACCTGAGTTGCGGCAGAGCCGTTTCAACTCAGTATAAGCTGCTCTCAGTAAAGCCTACAGTTTTGCACCCGAGGTGCAAGCAATGCTTCAGGAGATTTGTAGTTTGAAAGATTCTGGAGGGAGCCACCTGCCGCATCAGAAACGTGAGCGCTGCCGACAGGACTGTGGCCTGCAAACTCGATTCACTTGCTAAGCGTTCCAATCAGCTTGAACACCGGGCTGCTGCTCTGCCCTCGCCCAGCTCAAGAGAGTGTTACAGGAGCCGCTAGGGTGCTGCTGTTTCGGACGCCATGTCGACCTGCAGTGAAAGCACTCCGGTGTTCACTTCGCGATGTCTTAAGGTCGGGATGGAGACCGGAGACATCGAGGCGCTGAAGAGGGCAGGCGTAACAACGCTTGCCAAAGTCGCCTTTCTGAGTGCCTACACCCCAGGCTCGGGAGATGACAAAGCTTTGACTGACGCTTTTGAAGCTGCGTTGGGGACTTCGGCTGACTTGGGGCAGAAAGCTGCCTTCAGGCGTCTCTTTCACGAGAGCTTCGCAGTGACAACAAGCGAAATGAAGTCGCTTGTCGAGCGGACCGAAGAGACGGCGCCAAGGCGCCTTTCAGTCCCCGAAAGGACGGAGAGATTCAATGCAATCGTCAAGAAGCTCCCAGGACTGGAGATTCGTAACAGGACGGAGCCCAGCGACGCTCTTGTCGATGCTTGTGTTGCTATGTACGAGAGCAACAAGTTGTCCTTCTTGGAGTGGGAAAAGCTCACGAGCAAGGAGCACGAGGCCAACTCAAGCTCCAAGCGCGAGACCGTTCTCGCTATCGATGCTAGCGGGAAGCTGAAGACCGAAAAGCCAGATCCGGCTAGGGCCGACACGTCAACAGAGTTGCTAGTGCAGCTTGCATTGACACGTCGCGGCATTGCATTTGAAATGAGCAACATACTTAGCTACAACCTGCACACCCGGTGGGTTGAGCGCCTCATGAGTGCCAGGCTTGACCCTGTTCCTGCTTCACATAGCCTCCCATCGATGGCGCAACTTCAGGCGGCAGACCGCAAACTGTTTCAGGTTCTTGCTGATCAAAGCAGGTCCGGCATACAAGTGACTTCGTCGGGGAGGCCTCTTGACTCGCTGTTCGAAGTTGCCACCTTGGCGTCTGAGGTGGCTCACTTGTTGCAGCCGCTCCCCATGGCTTCCGGGCCTCATGGCGGAGCGGAGAAGGAGCGGCCAGGGCCGTACACCGTTCAACGGTGGCAAGGGCCGAGGCGGAAAGGGCGAAAAGGCAAAGGTGCTTTTCGTCAGATGAGGATGCCTGCAGGGCTCGAGGGCTGTCGAAGCCACACCAATGGAGGCGAGCCCATCTGTTTTGGGTATGGCCTCAAAACATGCCGCAAGACAGTGACCAAGGGTCGCTGCATCAAAGGTCTGCATGTGTGTGCATGGCCGAAGTGTGGGAAGGCTCACCCGGCGGCAGATTGTCCACAGAGGTCAAGTGCGGCTTGACTAGATGTCAAGCCTGAGATTGCCGCAGCCGGCCCAGCATCCAGCGATGCGGCATCGAGTGATGCAGCTGCTAAGTGCAGCCGTTCTTCATATAGTGAAGACGCAATCCTTAGTTCTTCTTCAGGAGCCTGTGCTCCCAGCGACTCGTCTCCGAAGCCGAGTGATGTTGCTGGCGGTCCAGCTAAGCGTTTGAAGAAGGGTCATGATACACCTCATGACCAGCCGCGAGTCCAGTTTGGGGCTTGCGAATCAGTTATTTCTCCAGTTTCGTCCGATTTGATCACACACAATCTTCGAATGCCATCTTTCTTGAATCAAGGTCATTTTGACCCGCTTTCCATGCATGCTGCCGAGAAAAGTTTGCATGGACTCTGCTCAGAGCAGAAAGCATCGCCGCAACAGAGTTGCTTCAGCAGTACGACATGTTACCACATGAACAGTCGTCAAGAGCTGACTCAGGGTCGTGCTTCGGGAGCGGCGCCTATGTTCATGGGGGCGTCGTTGGGGTGCGTAATCATGCGCGTGACTTTCCCCTTAGCACGATGTGCTTTATTTTGTGGCTTCGGCATGTTTGTCCAGATCATAAGTTCACGTCTTGTGTTGTGCTTGACAACCACACTGCCGATATGCACCGTGACCTTCAAAATTCTTCTGTGCTCAATGTCGTTGTGCCAATATCTTCCTTTCAGGACGGCCTGCTCTGGGTGGAAGGCGAGGGCACAGAGCACAAGACGCTGGGCAAGGCCGAAGTCCAAGGAGGTCCGGTGCAGTGGTGCAATGGAGCCATCAAGTTTGCTGCAAACGAACTCGCTCATTGCGTTTTGCCCTGTCAGGTCGCAGGACCGTAGTGGTGGGGTTTAGTGTTCGGTTTAGTGAAAAATTGACGGGTGCGGACCGCCGCTTCTTGACTTCACTAGGTTTTCCCCTGGATAACCGAGCGCTTAAGAACCTCTGTCCCCCTGCGCCTGCCAGTCCCCAGCCTAAGGCTTGTAAAAACTCGCCGGAGAGTGCTACAGTGCCCGTTGCAGAGAGCGCAACGTCTCAGCGGCCGATCGTTATTGAGCTGTGTGCCGGCTCAGCGCTCTTGTCTGCCACAGCTCGTGAGCGAGGATACGCCATTCTTCCTGTGGACCGGGGTGGCAACAAAAATCGCTGCTTCGCACACACTTTGCAACTTGACCTTCGAAAGGACAGCGCCTGGTCCTTCATTCGCCGAGTCTTTGAGTGTCGCAGAGTTGTGTCAAGCACGTGTGGACAGTGCCAACCTCATCTACGACAACACCGCTGACTTTCGCAAGTGGCTGCTACAAACTAGTCCAAACACCGGGTTCACTGTCGAGAACCCCTTGCACTCTTGGATGTGGCAACTGCCTTCCTTTCAGGATCTTCAGCAGCTGTGCAGCTTCGTGAGTTTCGATGCCTGCCGTCATGGTTCCTCTAGGAACAAAGCAACTGCCCTGCTCACCAACGTTGAGTGTGTCGGGACCCTGAGTGGTCCGTGCCCTGGCTGCAAATCCCATGCCGCTTGGGGCCGTACTCATGATGGCTTTGCCACATCCTCCGAGGCCGCTTATCCCAAGCTTCTGTGCGAGCGCCTTGTTGCCTGCATTGACATTTTTGCGGCCGCGCAAGAATGCCTTCCCCTCGCCAGTCCCACTACCTCTCTTGCAGAAGCCAGGGCTGCTGCGCAAAAGCAGCCGCGTGGACACAAGTTTGCCCCAATCATCTCTGAGTTTCGCACACCATGTCGGTTCAGGCCTCCACCTTGCCTCCCCTAGACGGCAAACACTGCTTGACTGCTTCTTGGAATCGCGTGCCCCCTGGCTCTAAGCTGCTCCGGGTATCAGTCGAAAGGGGAGGACAGGACACCAGAGCCAGCTTCCTGCAAGGTACCGAAGACGCCGATGCGCATGTCAGCCGCTTCTTTGTGTTCGGTGTATACCGCTCGCCCGAGTCCTTTCTTCGCGAGGCTTCCATGCTTAAGCATCCCTTCGATGTAGCTCGTGCTTTGCCTGATGGCATGGTAAGGGCTTTGTTCAAGGTGCTTGTTGAGGGCCCGGTTTCAGTAATCAAGACCCGCTTGAACTTGCTGAAGCTCTGGAGAGGCTGGGCCCTTGAGCTAGAACCTGCAGAATCTAAGGTCAGAGACAGCATGGCGCCGTCCGTGAGGCGGGTGCTTAGTGGTAAGCGGACGCTCTTGCTCCAGAAGATAGCTGCTTCTCCAGGGTGGCCCGATAAGAACTTGCACCGTGACATCACTCAAGGCTTCAAACTCACCGGTTATCTCGAGTGTACCAATATTTTCCGTCCCGATGAAAAGCCGGCGTACAGCACAGAGCAGGACTTTTGGGATGGTGCGTCAGTGCTTCGTGATTCCTTGTGGGAAAAAGTTGCCAGCCACAAAGTGCAGGATTACTCTCAGGAGTTGTGGGACATCACCACGGACGAAGCCGATCCACAGAGCAAGGGTTGGCTTCAGGGTCCTTTGAGCAAAGCCCAGCTTGATGCAATGTTCCCAGAGGGCTGGTCTCCGTGCAGGCGCTTTGCTGTGTGGCAAGGCAAGTGGAGGCCGATCGATGATTTTTCCGAGTGCGGGATCAATGCTTGCTTCGGATGCTTCGAGCGTATAAGCCTTAAAGCGCTTGATGAAATCACTTGGGCTTGTGTTCAGATCTTCAAGTGTGCCGTTGCGCGGGGGGATGTTTCCTTTGCGCTTCAAGATGGCTCGGTCTTGAAAGGCAAGCTTCACTCGGCTTGGCGTGACAAGGACCGTGTCAGGCCGTTGAGCAAAACTTATGATCTGAAGTCGGCCTACAAGCAGATGCCTCTCCACCCGGACGAGCGCAGGAAGGCAATCATCATTTTGAAGAATCCTTCCACGCTTCAGGTCGAAGCGTTCGTGTGTAACACATTACCTTTTGGATCGACGGCTTCGGTGCTGCACTTCAACCGTGTAGCGCTGCTGCTCCAGCGTGTCATGTGGGAACTTTGTCTGATTTCGGCTTGCTATTACGACGATTTTCCTACTGCGATGCCTGCCATGCTGGGAGAAGGGAGTGACAACATCGTTCACACTGTGATGCAGCTGCTGGGCTACGACATGTCCGTCGAGAAGGAGACTCCTTACTCGACTTCCAGTGAAATGCTTGGTGTCGTGCTGGACACCAGCGATCCCGCGCTGGAGTGCGTTCACCTGAGAAACAAGACAGAGAAGGCTGAGGCGATGAGTCAGTCTCTTGGAAAGATTATGGAAGCAGGGGTCGTCTCGACACGTGATCTTCCCTCAATGCTTGGGCGCCTGCAATTTCTTGAGTCGCAGCTTTTCGGTAGGGCAGGAAAACTTGCCTTGGCCGACCTACGGCAAGTTGAGAAATCCTCTCACGAGACCGTGACTCTTGACAGCACGCACCTTGACGCTCTGAAGCTGCTCCGGGCCCGTCTGCTGGCGAGCAAGCCTCGAAGGATTGTGGCGTAGATTGCTACGCCGCCAGTTCTTCTATTTACTGATGGCGCGTGCGAGCCGTCCGGTGATTCTTTCATTGCGACGATCGGAGGAGTACTCGTCGCCCTATGCTTATCGCTCGCTGGCTTTGGGCTGACTACTTGAACGAGTCCCGCTGCATTGCATTCGTGGACCACACTGGAGTGCACAGTGCGTGCATAAATGGAAGTTCTTCGGACTCGACCTGGAGGAAGCTTCTTATGCACCTTGAAGCCGCTGACGAGGCGGCTCCAAGTCTGATGTGGTATCACCGCGTCCCGAGTGCAAGCAACTGTGCAGATGCTCCCTCGCGAGCGAAGTGGTTGGAGATGAAATACCTGGGCGACTGGGTCCGCGATCGTCCCAAATGCCCGATCAGTTTCGAATTCTTGAAAGATGTGTGACACTCTCGGATGATATGTTTTGCTGATGGTGCTGCCTGGTGAAAGGGGGAAATGAAGGCTGCACATCAGTTGTGCGTCGGCACTCTTAGTGTCGACATCCTTCGATCGGCACTCTTAGTGTCGACATTCTTCGAGTCGGACTCGGTTGGTGTGTTTACTCACTGTTGTTTTACTTTCGTTGCAAAGACAATGCTTCTTGCTCGGCCCAAACAACAGCCAAGCCGCTTAGCTTTCGCATATGCATAGCTTCAGCTTTGCATAGCTTCATTAGCTTCAGCTTTGCATTTCTTTTCAGCACAACTATAGCAGCAGCATAGCTTTACTTGGCTTTTCGTGCGACTTGATGCATGGTTTCATGCCAGCGACTTTACGGCCTCCCTGAGGGGACATGCCATTGGCGTATGCCAGTTTATGTGCCGCAAGCCACTCACTATGCGGCTTCCGATCGTGGTGGGTACATTGCAGTGCCCGCTTTGTGCATGCTCGACAACTGGTGCTTTTTCATAAAGTTCGGAGTGAGAAACTTCGCGCGTTTTTCATTACTTTCTTGATGGCCGTGATCTCCATGACCATTAGAACGACTTGCATAACTGCTTTGAACGTGTGTGGCTCTATTTTGTCTCCTTCGCAAGCGGAAAAGCAGAACTTTGCTTTGCCATGATCTTTTCTGAGAGCTTTGTGCAGCGTATTCGGCCACTCCCTTCAGGTACTTTTTCCCCTTGAAAGGGGTCGGCTTCTGAAGTTTACGAGGATGCTGCGGATGGCTCTAAAGCTGTAATCAAGAGCTTTTCGCAATTATGCTTCGCTGTCAGGTCTACCGCTTCAAGCTTATGGTTCTGTCTCTGCAGACGCTGGCATCTCAGCCGTGGCGGCGGCTAGCATGCCGAAATCGAAGGATTTCCGCATACTCGCCGCCTCCATTGTTTAGGTTTTGAGACAGCAGCTTTGGGCGCCGGAGCCTTCTTCTTTGCGAAGTATATAGCTGATTTCTTTTCGCTTTCACTCAGGCTGCAGCCACAACTTTGTGATCCGGTTGGCGCCCTGGACTTTTATTCTTTGCAGGCAATCTCGCAGGCTCTTGGACGTCATGTTTCCTCGCTTTTGCTGGGGCTTGGGCATCGGCTGGAAGACCAGCTCTTCATGTCTCATGAATGCTTGCTTCGCCTTCCTTTTTCCTGCTTTGACATATACAAGATCAGCTCTTGCTTTTCATTGTCGGGTCTGCCTTGGCCTGAGCATGCTTCCTCCTTTTTCTTTTCGAACGTGGGCCGAGGCATTTTTCTTGAGGCTTAGCTTCGCCTTCGACATTTGCTTTGCCAGGGCCCTCCACAGTTTCGTCGGCTCCTACGCCCGCTTATTCTGAGATACCTTGTGGTACTTTACTGCAGCTCTTTGATTTCAAGCCTCGCACAGGTGATGCCGATTATTGCAAGAATTCTTCTTTTGGTATCGCGGCCAACGGCGAGGTGGAGCAACGGCCCAAGCTTCGATTGCTTTCGTTTACGGTGCTGCGTCAGCTTGCTGCTTCTCTCTCTCTTCTTGCGAGGGCGCTTGGCTTTAGGCCCAATATCAGGATTTGCTTGGGCTTCGTGGAAGAAGTATTTTTGCAACTACGGTGCCTCGCACCTTCGTTCTTTGCTTGGTGCCCTTGGTCTGTTGAGGACCTGCAGTGTACGATTATGCTTCGTTATTTCAGCTGGAAGTGCACTACGCTTCGCTTGCTTTACAGCTTTCTTTGTTCGCTGCTTCCACTTCGTGGTTGCCTTCTTGCCGACCTATTTCGGTGCTTTTTGTTGACTGCAAAATGTGCTCGAAGCTTCATGCTTGTTGGCAATCTTCAGCTACTTTGCGCTTACACATTAGGGCAAGATTTGTTTGAGCGGTGCAGTCGTGCTTCGCGGTCATGAGTTTCATGCGAACTTGTTTGCCTTTGGCTTTGCACTTGAAACGCATCATGTCAGTACCCTGTACCCTTTCAGGACGCATCTTTCAAAGTAGCGGTGCAACTTTTGAGGCCTTAGGCTTTGTTCGAGTGGCCCCTTGCTGGGCTTTCGGATGTCCAGTGACGGCAGCTACAGCTCTTCTTCATCGGAGGTCGAAGGGGGCAGGACACACGTGGTGATTATCAGACCTCGCCTGTTTCACGAACAGGTGCTTTACTATCGCTTGTTTCATTGCAGCCCCCTTCATTCGCTGGTGCTTTTCAGGCCACACCTGTCTTGGCTAGAGCTGGGTCTTGGCTCGGTTTCGGTCGGAAATCGCATTTTGCTTTTTACAACCGAAGCTTCCTGGCGCGCCATAAGCTTGGTTAGCACAGAGGCCCTACGGTGCCTTTCCAGTGCCCTTTATCTCGGGCGTTGACAACATGTCTGGAAGCCACTTTTTGGAAGATTTTGTTTGGTCGTGACTGCTTATTCGTTGCATTTGACGACGTAGGCCACTCCTTCGCTCCTTTGTGGTGCCGTCAAGCTTTTCTTCGGCCCTGCATTTTTGCCCTCCAATCTACTTTGGATTTGCTGGAGGGCAGCATTCATTTCATTGAGGATTTCATTCCGCCGCCCATGAATATTGCGATGCTTTCTTCTGCTTTTCAGATCTTTCAAGATGACGCTGCTTTCGTTTTGCCGGGGCACCACAGGATTGGCAGCATTCTTCCCCATGGTTGGGTCGATACCATTCCTGCTTTGAGGCTTCAGCGAGGCTTCGCGGACCGCTTCCTTTCAGGTACATGGGCTCCTTCGATGCGGACCTGCTTTGCTCTTTTGATTGCAGCGCCTTCGGCTGAGATTGCGCATCATCCTTCCTTTGCCGCTTCTGATGTTTCGCAGGTATTTGGCAAGGAAAGCGACGCGGAGGACCTGAGTACGTCTGGCGAGTCCCAGCTTTTTGCCGCTGCTTTCGGTAAAGTTCGTCATGTTCGTGTTGCTTTACCAGGTGCGAAGCCGAGACCCTGCGGTTCGGCCACTAGCTGAAGATCTTCGGGTCTCCGAGCTCAGCCCGCTTTTATTGACGCCCCGCTTTCATCAAGGTTGCTTTGGCAAATCGATTGCCTTCCTTTCTGGCGGGAGGTATCGTTGGGCTTTGCTTTTTCCAGCTCTGTGTCTTCTACATCACGCTTCCTGTCTGCTCGCTTGGCCGTTTGATCGGCGCAGCACAGAACGCTTTTCTTTTGATCGGCCTTGTGCCTCGCTTTTCGCTTTATTTTCTACCCCACGAGGGCTACGGCTACGCTTCTTGATGCAAAGAAAACGATTTGGCAAAATTGCTTTGGGACATGCGTTTGCACTTGTTCCTGTAGCTTTTCGCATGTTTGAATCACAGCATGTTGCCACGGTATTGCTTTATATTTTGCCGCCGCTGCAGCACGCTTTTCTCGAGCTTTGATCTTTACGCCGCTCTCCTTTTGCTTTCCTTTGCTTCCTCATGGAGCAGTGGCTTGAGAACTCAGTTCCTTTGCACGTGCTTTTTCAGTTCGCCTCTGCGAAGGCTGCGGGGAACCAGGAGGAAGTGGAAAGTACTTTGCGCTGGCTTCCGGAGGGTCAACGTGTCGCGCTGTTGGAGGCCTTGGCTGCTTCCTTGGAAAGCACCGATGCTTCCTTTACTTCAGCGGATCCTGCGGCACTGCGGCCGACCCTCCAGCTGCTCCGGACTCCTTTGCGGACTCCTTTGCGGCAGCCGATGGTTCCAAGGAGACCGCTGCTCCTACTTTTCCGGAGGCTGCAGCCAATGGTTCTGGGGAGACCGCTGCTCCTACTTTACCGGAGTCGGCAGCCGATGGTTCCAAGGAAACCGCTGCTCCTACTTTACCGGAAGTTCCTGATCTTAGCGAAGGAGGCAATCCCAAATACAGCCACCTCCTTTCCTATGACGGCCACATGGGTCACAGCTATGACGATTGGTACACATACTGGGAAAGGCAGAATTGGTTGGATTTGATGGTGGATGGGGCCACTCCTTTTGAACAACTTTGTTACCCTAGCATGCATATGATTTTGGTATGTATGCACACACGTGTACAGTA